CAAGGTTCACCTTCTTCCTGAACATAAAAGCACTCAAATCCAGAGATGAGAATTAGATATAAAGCATTTGATTGGGCAACGGCCTACTGTAGGAACAGCATCTTCTCCTTCCATGTTTTTTTTTCTTTTTAAATTTTATTATTCATATGTGCATACAAGACTTGGGTCATTTCTCCCCCCTGCTTCCCCCCCCTCCCTTACCACCCACTCCGCCCCCTCCCTCTCCCTCCCACCCCTTCAATACCCAGCAGAAACTATTTTGCCCTTATTTCTAATTTTGTTGTAGAGAGAGTATAAGCAGTAATAGGAATTCTCCTTCCATGTTAACACCAGCAATGAACTTTACTTGCAAAGAAAATTGTGTATGTGATAGTTTTATCTATCTGTATATGTGAGAGGTGAGGGTCTACGTGTATGTATGCATGTATGTATATAAATATGTAATTACTCTTGTTTCTGAGAATAAATATTTCATAGGATGATCACAAATGGTCTATTATCTGGGAAATCCACTTATATCTTTTGAACCAATGAATGACTACAGGGGACATGGAATTGTGGATCTCTCAGACAAGTTGCAGTGAAAAGGGACTAATAGTGTAGCACCTCAGGATTAGTGGAGCAAGAAGGACCTCCAAAAACCTACTTCTCAATAAAAACAATGAGAATGCTAAGAAAAAAAATGGTCAAACCAGTATTTTCAGAACTCTTGAATTCATCAAAGGCTTGCAACAATCCAAGGAGCATTTGTTTAAGGAAAATGGTTGAACATCTGTAAGAACAGTGAGTACAGTGATATTTCAATTGGTCCTAATTGAATCTCCCTATCCCTACAGTTGCCTTGAAAACCAAAAGCCTGACAACTCTAATAGTTGTAAAAAACAGTAGCCTAGCAGATACTGGAGGGAGAAGTCTAGGTTGGAGGTGCTCCAAAAGCCTCATAGAAAGTTAGCACTATTTGGCATTTCTGGCAGTTCTTTAAAAACACCTATCATATGATTTATCTTTATTTGATCTGTCTCAGAGTTGGCCTCCTGCCAAAAGTCTTTTTGCTTTAAAATACTTTATTTTTAGAGGAGTCTTATGTTTAGGGAAAAACTAAGCAGAAGGTACAGAATGTTGACTGAGGGGCAGAGAAAAATGGTGGCACAGGATTCTCTAGTGATCATCGTCCTGCAGAAACATCAATTTGAAAGCTATCCATGCACAAAAATACCTTCACAAGAGTTAAGGAAACCATGTGAGAGATCATAGCCTAGAAAAAAAAATAAAACAAGACACTCTGAAGAGTGTAGAAAGGGTTCTATATTACCTGTGTCATTCCTCTCCTAAGACAGGCTGCACAGTGTAGAGAGAGATACCCTCCACTTGGAAGGAGAGGGGAAGTGAGCACTGGACTTTGCTTTGAAGTTTAACACTGGGCCCGCTCTAGTAAAACCCAGCCAGCACTAGGCAGACCCCCACTGCTCCAGACTCCAGGTCCCAGACTTCAGGCTTTGACCTGCTCCACTGCTGAGTTGACTTTAGTGGCCCCAGCTCAGAACCACCCTCAGTGCTAGGATAGTCTCAGTGGTACCAGGCAGTCCCCAACGCCTCAGGCTCCAGGCATATCCCAGGGCCAGGCCAGCCCTGACTCCAAACCAACACCAGCCTCCTGAATCAGGCAAGCCCCTGCAACTCCAGGCTACAGGTTCACCTCAGGGTCCAGATCAGCCCAGAGCCAGGTTGGCCCATACAGTTTTAGGTTGCAAGCTTACTCTAGTACACATTTGGTGTCGGGAACCAGGCCAGCGCCCAAGGACATAAGATTCATTCCTGACCAGTACTGAGATAATCCCTGTAGCCCACCATTCCAGGATGGCCTCTAAGGTCCTAGGACACAGGCAAGTCCTCAAAAGACTTTACTTCCTGGACAGCACCAGCACACCAAGCCTCAGACTGGACCCCATGGACTCAGGCTCCAGGACACCCCCAGAACCCCAGACTTAGGCCGGGGTCCATGACTATGAGGAGCACCAGCCCAGGCAACTGTGATCCCAGGCTCTGGGCCAGCCCTTGCAGATACAAGCACCACACTTGCCTCCATACCAAGCTGGCTCCAGGCTTCAGTGGCCTCAAGGTCCAGGCCAGCTCCAACAGACCAAGGGCTCAGGTCCACCCCAGTAGACCATGCTGCTGGACTGAGGTTCTAAAACAATCTGTATGGATCTAGGATCCAGAAACATCCCTAAAGATCCAAGTGCTAAGCCAAACCCCATGGACCCAAAACTCTGGTTTGTCCCCAAAGATAGGCTCCCAGTGCCTGCCAGCACCTGAGGATTCAGGCTCAAGATCCTCTCTAGTGTCAAGTCAGCCCCTGTGGACCTGGGCTTTAGACTAGCCTCCAGGAATACAGGATCCAGGCCCACCCCAAGCAGTAACAATCAATAGGTATACCCAAGTAGATACAGGGTCCAGGTCCATCTATCTGCTCATCCAGGTACCAGGCCAGTCAACCTGAATACTTCAGTAGTAAGCTTGCCCATGAAAACAAGACAACCTGTCCAGAATTTAGGCTCAAGAGCCACTCCATAATGTGTGTGTATACACATCATAGTATACATGATAGATTTATATATAATTTTGTCAATTTCAATTTATGACTATTTTTCAAAGCAAGGAAATTCCCATATACAGCCCTTCCCTTCCTACCTGACCCTTCAGTTTTCCATTAACATCTTGCTTGATGAATTGATGGATTTATTAAACACATTAAAGGTCATAGTCTACTTTGAGACTCACTCAGTTCTGTATTTCTATGGGTTTTGACAAATGTATAATATGTATCTACCACCACAGTATCATACGAAAGAGTTTCACTTTCCCAAAAATCCCCTGTGCTCCATGTATTTATCCCTTCCTTCCCAACCAAACCTTTGGCAATCATAGATCCCTTTATTGTCTCTATAGTTTTGCCTTTGCTTGAATGGCATATGAATAGAATCATACAGTATATAGCCTTTTCAGACTGGATTCTTCTATTAGCAGTCTACATTAAAGGTTCTATCATGTCTTTTCATGGCTTGATAGTTCCTTTCATTAATGAATAATGTTGCATTATATGCATATACCAGAGTTTATACATTCATCTATTAAATGCCACTTAGTTGCTTCCAGTTTTAACCAGTTTTAACCATTATCATGGGTAGATTCTTGAGTGAGCATAAATTTAAATTTCATTTAAATAAGGATCAAGGAGTATTATTGCCAGATTGTATGATGAGACAATGTTTAATTTTGTAAGAAACTGCCAGGCATTTGCCAAAGTGGCTGTGCCATCTTACATTTCCACCAGCAGTGAAGGAGAGTTCCTGATTCTCCATATCTTTACCATCATTTGGTGTTGTCAGTATTGGGGTATCAAAGAAGTCAAAACAAAAAGGAGTCAGAAGAGGCCAAGTAATATGAGTCAATTTACATAAATATCCATAATCCATAGAAGAAAAAATAGTGGCTGTCTGTGCAGGTGATAGTAAAGGAGGAATGGGAATTGACTGTTAATGGTCATGGGATTTTTTTCTTGCAGAACTGGGGATCAAATCCAGGTCCTTATGCATGGTAGGCAAGCACTCTACCACTGAGCTGCATCCCCAACCCCATAGGATTTATTTATTTATTTTGCAGTACTGGGGTTTGAACTCAGGGCCTTATACTTGCTAGGCAGACACTCTACCACTCTGCCAGCCTATGTTTGTGTTCAAAGAACATACTAGGCTCTGGTGCTATCCAACAGAGTAAGACACAGTGAAATCCCTCAACAGTAGCTCCATCTTTTTGCAAGAGACAGTTACACAAGAGTGTATTGAAGGAAAGCCTGTTTAGGCTATATGAACAGAGGAGGGACACCTATCTGACACTGTGGTGTCAGGGGAGTACTGAAGATATGAGGAAAACCCCTGAGTTGATTCCCAAGATACAGTAGACAAACAAAATGATTAAGGAATATTTCCCCAGACAGGGGAAATAGTGCAAGAAATTCATTCTAGTGGAAATCAACTGTTGAGAGGGGAGTGGTAAAATGAGTTAATTTATGTTGGCTAGGAAAGAAAGAGATAGGAATTAGCATTTTGCAAACACACATACCCACTCTAAGTCAGTTCCATCCCATTGATAATGGTGATAAGACTAGTCAAGGAACAGACTTAGTGGGACACAGACTTACTAAGCTTCCTCAATAGGGCATATTGGTGATGCCCACTTGCTAGAAGTACCGCCTTAAGGTTGCAGAATTCTGAGGAGCCCCCAGCCCTGCCCCTCAGGGATAAGGGTTGAGCTCCTGGTCAAAGTTAAAGGGTACAAAGGAAATAAATTCCCTTCTGCCCACTTGCTCCCCATCCCCAAAACATTCAAGATTCTCTTTAACAACAAATCATCATTTATTTGCAACACAGCCCAGTCCCATAACTTAAGCACAGCATAGGATTATAAAGGAGCCACCCTTGACTGGGAAGAGCAGGCACTTACCATCCCCAGCAACACACACACACACACACACACACACACACACACACACACACACACACAGAGAGAGCCACATTCAAGCATTATTTAGTCCAAGGTAGAGTTTCATGCCTCCCCAAAACAGCAAGTCTATTTCCCCAAGACCCATGCCCAGAGTCGACTGGACACACAAAACAGGCAGGCTCAGAATGAAGTCAGCCCCACGACACTACATGTTCTACTACTACTACTACTGTGGACCAATGGCTTTTGACAAAGTCACAATAAAAAAAAAGACAAAATAGAGAATACATCTCCAAAGAACATCTTACCCAAGCATTAAGGGCTATGACTAGTGGTCAAATCTTACTGATCCATGGTAAGAGATTGCTGTCAGAATCATTTTTATACATATATAAAACATTAACTTTATATATATATAAACTGAGTAGCTCACAAATGGGGAAGAGACTTGCTTAAGGCTTAAGGAAGGAATAAAACCTATAGGTTGGGTAGAGATCACTTGCAGTTTTTAACATTGATATGTATTTTAACCCCTTCTACAACTTTCTTGGGAAAACCGGAGTTAGCTTTAACTTCACTATCACCTGCATGTGCAAGACTCAGCAATCATACCCTCATACTCCTTATACAAAATACTTCCATTCGCCTCGATCAGAAGGATGCTCATGGGAAGAAACTTATAAGGGACACAGGAGGGCTGAGGGACACTCTGGTTCACCATTTCATTGACAAGGCTCTGATGATGGCATGATTGGGGGAGTTGAGACCATAGGGTAGCACTCGAGTGCAGATTCCTTTACAATGTTTGGGTATAGAGATGGGAGCAATGATCCAGTGATCCAGCCCAGCTGGTGGAAGCTGACTTTGTAAGGGTGGAGGGAACACTGGTTATTTGCAGACCCATCATGTTCCTGGAGGAGCAGAAAACCTCAGACGCAGTGCTGCATGCTTGCCGGGCACTCCGCAAGAGAAGAGAAGATTCTCTTTCCACAAACTCCTCCTGGCCTCTGGGAAGAGATTTAGCCTTCTGAACACTTGTATGAGTGTCATTGAAATAGAGTAGCAAGAAGGCAATGTCCAAAGACGAAGTGCCATGCCACCGGCGCTCACAAACCTCACTGCCTTTTTCCTGCTGACACATGAAACGGAGTCTTAGGAACCTGCGTCCCTTGCGATTCCAGAGCCTCTGCTGAATACAATGTGTGATATCCATCTCTAGCAAACTTTAGGCATAAGGGAAGACTTTGGGGAACCTGTTTTTGCAGAAGGAATGTGGTTGGTTGGGCATTTGGGAACCCAGGGTTCCACATGGCAGGAGAGATGGCAGTGAGGTAGGTGAAGTTGATGGCGGTAAGTCACAGTGGCTCTGACTAGTTGGTATGCTACCCGGGTTGATGCCAGATGAAAGTCCAGGTTCTGTATATGCCAGGGACCTGCACAAATAAGAGATAACAGGGCAGGGAATTAGCTTCTTACCTCCTTGCCTTAACATTCTTTACAAAAGGTTTCAAATAAACTGACAGCCATAATCAGCTCTGAAATTAAATCAAGATAATGATAACATCTATTTATTAAGCACTTACTAATGTACCATATCTAGCACATGCATACGTTCTTAATTCTCAATAGTCTTGATATTGTTATCACCATTTTGCAGACAGGGAAATTGAAGTTCACTGGAGCTATGCCAAAGGCAAGGGCTGGGGATGTGCCTCAGTGGTAGAGTACTTTCCTAGCATATATGAGGCTCTGGATTCTATTCCCAGCACTGAAAAATAAAAAAGGCACATGGCCAGCATGTGGTAGAATCAAGATTTGAACCCAAGTCTGTTTCTATTACGAAAAAAATAATTGTGTGTCACTTTTAGTTCTCTCACAGTGCTAGGCTCAGGGAGGAAAACTCAAATATAAAATCATTCTGTGTGTACGCAGTATGTATGGGAGATATATTAGTTATCTATAAATTTGAGGTAACCAATTAAGAGAGCTGTTGAGACACACATGGATTAACAAAGAGTTCTCATGTCACAGCACTATAAGGATGTAGTGTTGGACCAAAAATTCTATACTGGGCACTATGCCTGCCATCATTTCAAAGCTAGGACCAAAGTACCACAAAATAAATTGATTTATTTCCCACTAGTGGGGACAGCTATTTTTGCTGTTCTGTGTTCCACCAACATCAAGAACTGTTTCATGAATCTCTTTAACTTCTTTGGCCATTAACTCTCAATCTCTCCCTTTTCCATTCCTTGATGGAAATTGTTCTCCATTTAGCCTATTCATTTTTACCACCATTTCACAAGGCTTTGATCACTATGAATATTTGTTTGCTGAGGTGCCTACTAAAAGCTGCACGCACCTTAGTGATTAAAGAGCCTTAATCCAAACTGAAGTGCTGACACCCAGTGGCCAAAGGTTTGGAAGGCTGGGTCTGCAAGCTCTAAACTTCTGCTTCCCTTTCCTGGGCAAAGGTCAAGAGCATAAACTACAAAAACCAGATATTGCAGGAAAAAGCCTCCGTCATCTTCAAACATCTTAGTAAGTATGTCCATGTGAATTTATATATTATTCACCTAACCCTCCTTCTCCAGTGAATACCCAAGCCTGAAATTCTTTAGGAAGACTGGAAACTTTCAACAAAGAAGCTCTTTAATGTCTTGATCCCAGAACTTTTTAGAAGTTCACGTCCCAACTCATGCTTAGCATGCCCTCAGGTTTGGCGCACCATCCATAGTTCACACAAGGCACAAGCCTGGCTTCTATTTGCTTTCTCCAGTTATTCCACACTCTCATCATTTACCACACTCTTTCCAAGAGGCCCACCCATACACCTGCCCCACCCTGCCTGAAAAGGAATCAACCCAACCCTCTAGCAGGCTGTCTGGTGAGAACTGCCCTTTCCTTTCAGACCTTGACATCACATGTTTCGCTGAAGCAGTTGGGGTTGCTAAGGAACAGAGCCAGGAAGGGTCTGCTCAGGAACTTTTCAGGAAAGGAATGGATTCATACATCCGGAGTGACTGAACCTGTCATCTACTTCTGGATCCTTTCCAGAGTCCCTAAATGCCAGTGTGTCTCACAGTCATCCAGGACACTTGGCCTAATCCTAGGCACCCTCCTTTTCAGCCTCATATCGTCTGTGCAAATTTGATTTGTGCAGGCTCTCTGCTGCACTCAGGGAATGAATCCAGATCCTCTTCTCTTGGCCTACAGTTCCTGCCTCTTATCAGCCTCATGTCCTGCCATTCTCCCACCAGATGCTCACAAGCTCAAGCTTTTCTCGCTTCTCTACTCGATGCCTAGTTTTATTTTTACAGGCCTCAGTCAAATGTCACCTCTATCAAAGGATACCTTCTCTGATAATCCCATGGAAACAGATTATTCAATTGCTAT